TGGAACTGGATGAGCTTTAAGTTCCCTTCCAATCCCCTCAGATTCTGCCATTAGACAAGCTGGAACCTTTGCTTCCTGAAAACCTCAATGCAAAATGAGACAGTACAAAGCCCTGTTTCCATCCTGGTCCAGGTACTGCACTGTAGAAAGTCTGGGGAGTCCTTCATGATGAAAACAGAACATTTGGGATCATTGAAGTTAAGGACTTTGTACCTCGTCAGAGAAATGGGCTTGGCAAATTCCAGGGAAATACCTGACTGAAACATTTGCAGAGCTAAACATTATTTTCACACTAGAAATGTGCAGGCACACAGGAACTAAGGGGAAATAGTCTGGCAATACTGTACATGTCCTGCAAATAGGGTACGATCCAGATGAGATAAAGATTGCTTTTAAAGAGCTGCTCCTGATCTTACCAGGTTATAGGGGCAAGTGGATAGGGTTGGAGAGGAGATTGGTAGATTCAGGAAGGAAGTTTTCAAAACACACTTGCAAACTTGATTAAACTGCAGTGCAGGAATTTTGTGTGGACCAGAGATGATACTACACCATCTAAACAAGGGATTAGCTGTGAACAGCCATCCTTTCTTCCTTCTAAGCTGCTGGATGCTTCAGCAGCTGGCATGCTTATTTCTGGAATCTCGAAGACTATTTTGGTCTTATATCTTTTAATTTCCTAGAATGTGACATATTAAGTATGACACTTAATTAACTGTTCCTCAAGTGAAGGAGTAACATCCTGTGCTCCTGGTATGATGTTGCAATGAGTACTGTAACTCCAGACAAAACCCCTTCTAATTATTTTGTTTGTCACCACACGTGGATTCCTGCCATGGAATTTCATTTGGGCCATAGCAGCTTTCATGGCTACATAAGAGCTTCCTTCTGAAAATGCCTCTTTCTCTTTCCAAGGAAAGTTATGGAAATAATTCCTGACAGCATTAGGCTTCAAACCTGAAGGCTGCTGGATGTCCTTGTGTTTCTCCTTAGTGCTCTGTGTACTTCTAAACACGCAACCAGGGAGCAAAATGGAAACAGTGGGTCAACATGTTCAGCTTCTCTGTACTGGACTGCAAATGGGTTACAGCTTTAAGGTTAATGGCTGATTAATTTCAATTAAAAAGAAATAACAGGTGGACGAGCAGTTGTGAATATCTGATCCACGTCACAGCACCCTGTACACTATGGAAGGAGAGGCTGATGTCCCTTTTTTTCCAGTGCTACAGCATCTCTTCTAACTTTTTAAACTGAACAAGACACAGGTAACTGCTTTCCTTGTTGAATAAATAATAGATGAAGTTTACAGAATAAAATAATTAGTCTTGTGTGCCTAAAGAGCTTAAAACCAAGACTTACAAATGCATTGCAAGTTGTGCTGTATTATTACATTTAACTGCCTGTAAAAAGAAATCCTTTAAGGCTCAAAATGAAGGACCCCCAAGCTTTTGTCTTGTTTTGTTTTCATAAGAGAAAAATACTGAAGCCTTAATAAACTGTAAAATGATTTTAAAATATTCATAGCCTTTGGAAAAGGTCAAAGGGAAAATGATGCCAATGTTTTTATTTGATATTTATTAAGACAGACTGGAATCCACTCAAGAAAGTGTTCTGGTCTACAAAAATACTAACTATATTCAGTTATGCATATGGAAGCTTTGGAGCTGGATCTTAATTAAAAGAATAGTTAAATTTTGCTCTTACTCTTAAAACTGAAGCAGTTTCCTCAGGCAACCTATTTCTCCTCAGGTCAATTTATTTGTTTTTGAGATCTTAGAATTTTTACTTATGTAGATTTAGATGCCCCATTTTTATTCCTTTTTAATTACTAAATTAACAGTGAGTGTCCAGGCTCTCAATGAAGGTGTAAAACCTGTGTGTCTGGTTTTCATTCCCAAAATCGTTCTTTCAACCATGTTGTTGGAGTCTCTCTTCCTTTTGTTTTTCCTGTCAAAGTCTCTTCCTCACCTAATTTACCAGAGCATTTGCTCATATATTGAATATCATGCAGCACCACCTACATTTTTCTGTATATACCTGTGTGTTAGTGAGAATGTACGTTACCTTTGATAAAGATTTTTTTAATACGGCTTTATGATGCTAAACTATGACTCTGTGGATGCTAAATGCAAAATGGCATCATTTTGTGCAACATGTAAGGGAACAAAAAATAGGCAGTTTCATGTTCAGTTAGGTGTGTTTTTTTATTTTATTTTTCCCTCAATATCTGCCTAAGGACTGGCAGAAATTCAACTGATCCAAAGCAATACATGCACTTTTGTGATGATCTGTTCACTATCATGCGGTAAATTCTGGACATTTTTTTATTCCTTCCTTCTTGGTGGAAACTAAGAGCTTTTAATACTCTCCTATTTATACATCTGTTGATGTCTCTGGAAGAATACTAAGAGGAAGAGGTTATTATGCTCCAGGGAGTGGCTTGATTATTATTATTATTAGCAGCACAATTTTAAAATATGTCTATAAATAGAGTTTCCCCCCTTTTCCTTCTGCTTGCCTCAGGTGCCTTCGTACTTTGCAGTTTTGGCTGCATAATCAGATGTGACCTTTCCAGCTCCGGCACTACTTCAGTTTGGAGAGCAACACTATGTGTATGACGTGGACTGAAACCCCAATGCAAAATCAGCTTTCTATGGAACAAGGTCAGTGTTGGATATTGTAGTTTTATTTCACAGAGGTGTTCATAGTGTGCTGGTGTGCGGCGTCAGCAACCTGCTAGAGTGAAACTTTCCTCCCTGTTCAACTACACTGTGTGTGGTTTTAGCCAGAAACTGAGTCGCTGCAAGACAACCGCGCTGCGAGAATACATAGGGTGATAATTTTTAGAGGAAAAAAACCGGTGATGCTTGCGTTCTTTTGAGGCCGCTCGGTTTCTGGCAGTCCCCTCAGAGACAGGCAATCCCCGAGAGTGAAGGATTAAGGAGTTTCGGAAGGCGAACCTTTAGATTTTATTTT